GCCCCACCTGGCAGCCTCTCTGGTATTCTAGCCCGAGACTCCCCATCCATAGACAGCTCTGCTGATGCCCCTCAGTACTGACCCACAACCCCTAACATTATACAGTTTGGATCTGATCTAAGATTAGGGAATTGGGGAAGCAGCCTCTCTGCCCTTCCCCACCCCGCAGGCGGGGCTGGGGGAGGGCAGGCGGGGCTGCCAGGCAGGGTTTGGGGGCAGCCCCTCTGCACCTGTGCAAGTCTGGGGCTCCAAACCGTCAGGAAAAGTTTCACACAGGGACAGGGCTGAGCACAGATGCCAGGTCCGACTGCAAAGCCACCTCCGCTAGGGAAGGTGCCAGTGCTATAGCAAAGGGAACGGAAACTGAAAACGCCCGTTGTCTCCTCCTGACTCCTCAGCTGTGGCGTGGCGAAAGGTCTTCGCTCCGGCTGGAGCAGGCCTCAGCTGGGAGACAGGTGCTGACTCCGAGCTCAGCCCCTTCACACACATGGGGAGAGGGGATTTGCTGTCTGGCAGTTCTAATGCCTGGAAATCCCGAAGGCCCCAGCACTGAATCGTCTCAGGTTCTGCTGCATGCACTTTGCCTTGTTATGTTTCCAGCCCTGTAAATAGTCTGTCGGTGACGTAGTTTAAAGTTGGCCTCTGCTGGAGGATGAAAACCGCCGAGAGCTATGTGGGTGTACGGATCCTGGAACAGTCCCTCCTTGCACCAAGTCCCATTACCCCCTGTAACAAACGGGGATAACCTCAGAGCAGGGACTCCCAGCACCACTGCAGCCCGCAGACTTGCCTCTGCCCCCGCCACTGGATGTGACCCCAGGGGCACTGTCTCTCTCCGATCCAGGGTCACGGGGAGGCGAGGTGTCTAACCGGGGAGCTCACTCCTGGGGACAGGGGGGAGCCCTGCTCCCGGGAAGGGAATGGGAACGCACCTCTCACTTGGAACACGTACAGCTGGGCTGGACTAGCCACTAAAGGAAGAGAAGGTCCTGCTCTGGATGAGGGGCTGAGCTAGCAGAAGCCAAACAAGTCCTAGTGTCTGCGATTCCCATCCAGCTCCCTGGGGCAGGGCCAGGAGCGAATGTGTGTCTTGGGGCTTCACAGACCATGTCTGCAGCCTCCTGACAGCTGCCTCCTGTGATTGCACAGCTGTCTGCAGTGACGGCGTTTGACTGACCCTTCTGTGGTGCTCTAACGGGGATCACCCTGTGCCACCTCTGGTCCGGCATGCAGGAGAATGCCATGTTCCTTAGACGGACAAGTGGTAGCACAGCTTAGATACCAGTCATGACAGACAGACGCGTGGACCCGTGGGAAAAGGGGTGCTCCTCGCAGAGGAACAGAAACTTCCCACTGCAATGTGCGGTAAAGGTTTTCTGTGGGCCAGCCCCTCCTGGCGCATGGCTCCGGAGCGCTAGCTGGAAGAGCTCTCGACGTCCCGGCCGCTCTCAGCAGAGGGTGCTGTGGAGAACGATGCAGGTAATGATGGCAGGATGGATCTGTGGAAGGGAATCCTCCGAGCTTCATCCTCTCCCCGCCCGGGAGATTACGCTGGCAGCCTGCAGCAAAGCTGCTAACGAGAGCTTTGGGCGCCTAATCACGGAGTGCCCCGGGGGGAGAGGCCGACGTGCATGGGCCAGCTGCAGCCCAGGACCACAGGCTGCTCCCTGGGGAGGGAGGAGGCCCACAGCTGATGCTGCAGAGCGGAGCTGTGGCCCCTCAGGCTCTGAGGGCCCCTAGGGGATGACCAGGGTACGTGATTGAAAACGGGCTCCCTGGGGGCCATGCGCTCGGAGTATTAAACTGAGTCAGCTCCGTGGCTGTGGGGAGGTGGGAGGGGGCATCACCTTCCCAACTGGCTTCCAGTGCTTCCCCCGCACCGCAGGAGCCGCTCTGGGGTGGGCCAGCTGCAGCCACTCCCCTACCTTTGGTCAGCAGCATTCACGCCTGCTGGCTGCCTGCCACGCACGCGGGAGACGGGTCGTTCCTGGGCTGCAGGCGCCCCAGAGGGCAGGGCAGGAGCTGACGGGCTCTGCTAGAGCCTAGGGAACCAGGTACAGTGTGGATGGTGGCCCCAGCCAAGGACTTGCTGTGGCTCCTATCGCGCCAAGGCCCAGCACTGG